AGGAAATAATAGAGTAAGACCCAAAGACAATTCAGATAAAGATCCGGAGGAAGCGAAACCAAAAAGAAGGCAAAGACAAAGAAGAAATAGGAGAAGACTCTGACGAAGAGCCCGAGGTCTACAATACACCCTCCAGTCGCCACACCCCGACGAGGCCTCCATGATCTGACACCTCGATAAGCTGTAGATCTACAGAGACGGAGTTAGGAACAAGATTGACACCCTCCCCATGACATGGATGAGGCTTCTACAACCTCAATCAAGGAGGATTAGTAGACAAGGCTCTCCTCGTCATAATTCGCTGCATCATTCACTTCAGCGTACAAACACGAGCATCGGTCAGCCGAAATCATGGGGGTTGGCACTACCACCAAGATCACCGTCAAAGTTTTTCCTTACATTAACAAAAACGTAGACCTATTATAAGGTCAAACTTTCCTGAACTCTATGAACTAGAGTATATCAATAAAATTTGGCATGCATTTTATTTCATTGGGAGTTTACCACACATTTCATAACAAGGTATTACAAACGATTTGCTTATGATGACTCTAAAAGTACTTAATGTATACCTCAAGGTTATGTGTAATTCAGAGGCGATCGATTTAGAAATGGTGAGTCCGCCTTGGGTCCTGTTCCTTGTTTGGTTGTGGGTTCAGGGCAGACTCATTAAGTTCAACGGCCTATCAAACCTTAATTACACACGATTGGTATATGTCGAGTGATCTTAGGAGGAGATCAGGCATGGAACAAATCACAAGATTACATTTGGGTCACTACTAAACTCATAAATTCATTCATATGGACTTTCTTTATGAATTGCATGCAAGATACTTTTAAGTCGAAGCATAATACAGAAAAATCTAAACTCATAAATTCATTCATATCAGTGCGGACACATAAATCAAATTTTAGATCGGTTGATTATTAGCCGAAACAATCTGAACAAGAGTTGAATATCTCGTTAATAGGATCCCAACGATATAAGGACAGTCGAAATTGGACTCCAGAGGAGAAAGTTATGCATTTTATACGGGATTTAACCTGTGTGAAAAAATTAAAGTCAAAATTAGCCGACATAGTCTAAATGAAAGTTGTATATCTCGTCGAGAGCTTTCCGGGGATATAAAAAACATAAAAATGGAGCTCTTATGAATAAGATACACAATTTTGAAAATCTGAAAAAAGGCACGCGTGCGCGCGACACATAGAGCGTTCTAGAAGCTGCCACATAGCCCCACCCATATTCGAACACGTGTCAACCTTTGAGAGGGCCAACCAGACCAGTACTTGGCACGCACCTGGTCTGTGTGCGGTGCACAAGCCAATTCTCTCTCCTATAAATAGCATTCAGTCTCTAGTCTATGTCCCTCACCCCTACAAATTTTATCTCTCGATATTCTTCGACTTTTAGCCTGTTGTCACGTAGTTTTAGTCTATAGGGAAGCCCTGCGACACCCCTGAGTGCTCAGCTAGTTTCAACCTTCGACTAGAAGTTCCCGAGTCAGTATTATACCTGCTTAGTTCCCGATTTTCATCAAGACCACTCTGTAAGTGAGCTACACTTACTCTGCTTCCGTATAATTTACGATTATAGTTATAAGTCGTCACTAGGAACTTATAATTAAGATTTATCAATGATTCCAAGTAGTTATACTGATTGATCTACTTACGGGAAAGGTTTCTAGAATGGTCATGTTGGTTTGGTTGTTGGATTTCCGAAAGGCTATACACCGAAATGGTCCTGCTTTCCAACTTTCTTGCAAGGCTTATCCTTATTTGATAAAACTCTCAGTATTAATTGAGATTATTGAAGATAAACCCGTAGGATAATAATCATGGAACTAGACTAAGACTTAGTGTTAGGATTAAAACCTTAATTGTGGTTTGATGAACAAGATCGGAAAATAAGAACAAACACAAATAAGAAGATATGTCGAATGATCACTCGATTTATTCAAAACATGAGGAATAGATTACACTTTCAGAATAGACTAAGGAATCTAACTCTACATAAAAAACCTCACAATGTTTGGCGGCTACATTTTGCCTCACTCGTAACCCTAATTATGAATAGTACATGACTATTTATAGGGAAAAGACAAGTCTTGGGATTTTAACCTACATTTCATCAAGGGGGCCCATTGCCATAATCCATGGAGTACTTTGAAACCCTACACTTAGTGTTATATACATCTAGGTCTTTTGGAAAAGGTGTAAGGCGAAGCTCTGCTCGATTCGCCAATCACCAGACACTTTGTCAGGTGAGTATGTAGTTACTATTATGAACATAATATTGAATTAAATGTATTATTTATAAGCGACATTAAGTGTTTACATGTATTATCTATGTTATGTGCTACTCGTATAAATATGATAGTACTATTGGATTAGGAAATGTATTGGACACATATTGCCTTTAGCATAAGTCTGAATTAGTTACAATAGGACTTGTAAAAGGTGTTTAGTTCCCAATAAGCTGGACATTAGACAGGTCTCATTACGGGGTAGCGTGTGAGCTTAGATAGCGGAGTGTCGTATTCCTCCTCTTTCTTTGATGACTAGAAATGATGGGTCAGGTCAGACAACTAGCAAGTATGTATGGGTTATCGACCAAAGTAGATGACAACACTTGACTATTCTAGGCGGTCTAGTGAATTACGTTGCTAGCATGGAATTATAGCTATGAAAGTAGATAAAATGGGATACCATATTTATCAGATCTCTAAACATTGGTTGCCTTTATATGATTTACATTGGCCAAGGACTCCCCTAGCGGTGTAGTTAATCTGACATCATTGTTTACATGAATGATATTAATTATTATCATTAAATTTTTATGGGCTTGAAAACCCTATACATCTCACCAGGTTTTATCAAATCTCTAAACATTGGATGGTATTATGTGTACAAGTTAGCCTAAAGCACTTGCCTGAACCAACTAGTATATAATGTGATTTGAACAAAACGTGTACTTGGATGGTATTATGTGTACAGAGACCTTACTTTACTGGTATTTTTTGCATTGTATAAACTTAAATGATGTTTTTGAACAAATTTGAAACTTATTTACTTTCCTAATTCATTTCCCTGTTCAGTCCAAGCCACATAGTTCATTATTTTCCATTTAATTATTTTTACTATTAAAATCCGGTCGATTATCATCATGTGTAATCTGAACGAAACGTGTACTTAGATGGTATTTTATGTACAAAGACCTTAGGTCACTGTTATTTTTTTGCTGACTAAACTTGAATTATATTTTTTGAACAATTTTGAAAGCTAACGGGTTTTTTAACTGGCCCAATAAACCGAACCAATTTTTTATTACTGGTTCAGCTTTCACAAATCTCGTACATTAAGAAAGTTTTAGTAAAGTTCAATATGAGAGATGCTAAGGCCAGAAGTGCACATTTGGGTAGTTAGTTGAGACTCTCAAAGAAGCAATCCCCCAAAAATGGAAGAAGACAAGGAACAAATGGCTGAAATTCCCTACTTATTTGTGGTTGGTAGTTTGCTGTATGTTATGGTATGAACTAGACCACACATTGCTCATGTAGTGGGAGTTGTGAGTAGGTTCTTATCAAATCCAGGAAAAGATCACTGGGATGGAGGAAAGTGGCTGTTACGCTACCTGAAAGGAACATCAAAGGTTGCCCTATTTTTCAGAAGAAATGGGTTCGTCTTAGAAGGGTTCACTGATGTAGATTTGGGTGGATGTATGGATTTAGGAAAGAGCACAATAGGTTACATGTTCACAATCGGAGGTACATCAATCAATTAGATGTCTAGGTTAAAGAATAGTGTTACACTCTCAACCATAGAAGCAAAGTATATGGCTATTGTAGAAGCAACCAAATAGCTTATATGGTGAAAGAACTTCTTATAGGAACTTGGAATGCAATAGGAGGATTATGTATTGCACTGTGACAACCAAAGTGCAGTTTACCTGGAAAAGAATATGGTGTTTCACAATAGAATGAAACACATTTTGATGAGGCGCCAATTCATTTGAGAGTTAATTAATGACGAAACTCTAAATCTAAAGAAAATCCTTAGAACGAAGAACCTAATAGATATGTTCACCAAGGTGGTTACCATTGAGAAGTTGAAGTTTTGTATGACTTTAATTGGCCTTTTATAAGTTTGAGGAGAGAGAGAGAGAGAGAGAGAGAGAGAGAGAGAGAGAGAGAGAGAGAGACGTTGTAAGGTTTTGGATGGCAGAGAAAGACTAAGTTGTTCAAGCCACCGAGTGAGAGATTGTTAGGTTTGGTGGTAAAAAAAATATTATAAAGTAGAAGACATCTTGAATGCAACACCAATTCTCAATTTACTCCTAAATTTACGGTATTGAAATGTGTTTTTTTCCCCCATCATACGATAATTGGTGTGTGTACATACATACATACCTATTTTATTTTAGTGTATATAGAAGAAGGAAGCAGAGAGAGAAATACACCAATCAGAACAGAGCATAGATACACCATGCATATAGAAAACACCGAGTGAGATAGTTTCATCTGGATAGAGCCTTATTTTTTGCAGCCAAAAATATGAGTGACAGTGAATGATCCGATTACAGGTGTGGTTTAGCCTTATATAATTGTAATTTTCTGGGTGATAATAAAATATTCTCTCTCTCGTTCGGCAGTGAATGTAGGTCAGATTAGACCGAACCATTCTAGATATGTGTTATTTATAGTTTTTTTCGTTTGCAGGTTTTCAGTAGTTTTACTCCACCCATGTTACCGAAATCATTTACCGTTTTGTCTAAAGTGCTTAATTTGTTTTGTTGAATGCCCAACATCAATATGGTAAGACACCTTAACACGTCACAAACCCTTATTTTTGTGCCTTAGACGAGATTTAAACTTGGGTCACTAGTCCTCGGGGGTGCTTACAATGTCGTCCTTCACAACCAACTTGGCCTTGGTGATGGTTAAACCCAAGCTAAAAATACTTCCATGCTCTATTGTAAATTAATATCAAAATAAAAGAGATTACCTTCGTTTTAAGAGCCAACCTAGTTCAGACATGCAAACTGGTTTGTCATACACACCACTCTGCAAAAACAAAGTAACAAAAGGAAAACATTAGCCGTGGCTTGTGGTTTACAAATTATATATCCCGAGTGGTATCAAGATATAAGGAGTAGTAACTACTAGTAGTTCGACGTTTAAAATTCAATGTTACTCCCACCACGTACGCTGATTGATGAGCAAAACAAATTTCTATTTGGGAATTTCGGATGATCGAGACTGCAGCATGTTTTTAATATGCTAAAATTTCAGTCGCAGCATTTATAGATGTTATTGCATTTGAACGATATGCTGATCAAAATATATATCTGAATAAGTATCGAACCTATTTGCTAATCAACTTAGCTTTAAAATTAAGTAAAAATGAGATATATTACTTTACAATATGTAGTTAGAAACTGTACTGACCTCTCGGCAAACTGGACATTTGGACTCAGGGCTTGCGGATTTGAAGCCTTCAATGATCAATGCATGCCCAGCTAAACAAGCACAAGACTTGCAAAAAATGTGTCCGCAGCTCAAAGCATATGGTTGGAAAACAATGTCCTGAACCAATACAAGTATAGTACTGACCATTATGCCATTGAACCCTGTGAAATCATATATGCTTACCAAGAAGAACTTTTAAATAATTTTTTTAGAAAGATTTAAATGATCCTCTTTATCTAACATTAAATTGCGTTAACGTTCATTTAATTAAGGCCATACCAAGCAAATAGGACACGTGAGATTGCATTCCAATTTCTCGGACCCTAGAAGGGTTAAAGTCAGTGCAGACCCTTGATTTGAGATGTTGAGATCACAAGAGAGTGGACCAAAAAGCTCATCTGAGATCAAACTGTCTGAACCTTTAAGATTCATATACATAGCTACTAATTCAATCAACCATGGTGATTGCATAATATCCAAGTGCTTGGCTTGTAGTTTGGATTTAAAGTTGATAACGCTTTCAGATTCGTGAACCTGTGCATGGTACATATATATAATCAAGATTCAAGAACAAGGAACACCGATGTAATTCAGTGACCAGGGAGCTTACTTTATCATATTTCTTAAGAATCTTCCTCAGGGCGATAGCATTCATAACAGCAAATTGGATTAGCATCCATCCCTTGTGTAGGAGTGCTGCTTCATGATCATCTTTGAAATAGGTAAACGGGCCTGCTAAGAATCTTCGCATACCAGGAGAGAAATGAAGATGAACAAGCTGCCCTACTCTCAAACCAAAATAATCACTCATCTTGGTAGCTTTTGTTGTTAATTCAGTGAACATCCATTCACACCCTAAAACACCCGTAAGGTACCACAAGAACCATGAGGAACTGTTTATCCATACGCATCAAATAACACGTAATCTTTGTTTCCACTTCTCTTATGCATGGGAGCAGTCATTTAAGAGCTCATGATAATGAAATACAATAAAACCAAAAAGAAGAAACGAAACAGGAAGCTTACTGTGGCATTGTGTCTGATTGAAATCATCACCATGAGAATCAACGGAAGCTTCATTATGTCTATGATGCCTGCAAAAGTTCAAATCATTTTTGAACCTATTGTACTCAAAATGAAAGCTCTTGTTGATCAGATCCTTCCCCACCAAATAAGCCGTAAACGTCTCTTCGAACCCCATAACTTCAATTCGATTCAGTTAGCACTTGTAAACATGCACCAACAACAATATGAAGAAATGAAATCGACACAATTCGATTCAGTTAGCACTTGTTATTTCCATCAAACCATCTTCTAAAAATGTTCACGGTTGATGGGAATTTTTTTTGCTAAGAGAATATAAAGTGATGATATATAACCGAAGCTAGTGACTTGCAACATATGAAGCAAGACTTGTACATCATATCGTACGGGATACATTATGACTTCGACTACAAGGAAAGTCGACATAAACCAATATATAAAACATATAAACCAATCTTACAGAAAAGCACAAAAAGAAAAAAAAAATTAAAAAATTAAAAAATTAAAAAGTGGGCATAGGATGTTGTCATAACAGTGCTTTAATCAATCGAAGTTGGTACCGGTAGACCCTTTTCTCCATATATAACTAAAGGGTCTTATCCAAATATGATAATACTCTAGGCCTCTAGTCACTTACAAAATAGGAAGCCAGACTTGTACATCGTACGGGATACATTAAGACATCGACTACAAGAAGAGTCAACATAAACGCATATATAAAAACATACAAACCAATCTTACCTTTCAATCTAAAAAAAAGATAATAAAAAAAATTAACTTAGGATGTTGTCATAATGGTGCTTTAATCAGTCTTGTCGATATATATATATATATATATATATATATATATATATATATATATATATATATATATATATATATATATATATATATATATAATGAATCTAGTGTCAACCGTGAATCTTTCAACTAACATTGTTTATACTCTATATTAAACGTCCTTCAAACAGATTATGAAACATAATTAGATCAAGTTTTCCTTTTTAATTACCGTTTTCTTTTAGAATATGCAAGTGATCACTAACCTGTTAAAGTTGTAGAGAGTGGTTCATCTTTTGTAACACCCGTATTATCAATGTATTATTCTTTTACTTTTGAAGACTTGAATTTGGAAATTGTTCCGTCCGCGGCATGGTTTATATGTTTCCATGGCGTGGTGATGCCACATCACCACAACGCGATACCTTTTAAATGTCACGGCGCGACGCCTCATGTTGCACAAAACTCAAAGTTTTGGGCTTTGGGCCCTATTTAAGGAATATGGGGACTAGGGTTTGACCACCGTCAACCTCCATCACCTCCAAAATACTCCCTCATCAACCCTAGCCCCCGTTAAAGCTTTTGAACTCATTTGAGTGGTTTTTGGTGATCTTTGAAGGAAGAAGAAGAAACTTTTAGTGCAAAGATCCAACAAGCAACTCATCTCCACCTCATTGTGCACTTTCCATACTTTTTTTAAGTCCTCAAGCTCCTACCTTTATGATTCCATCTCTCTAGATCTAGGTTATAAATCTTATTTCTTTACGTTGGGTTGGTTTGAATGGTTGGATCGATCCAATAAAGTTGGCAACTTTATTGATCATTGAGGTCCCTTGAGAAACATATGTTATAGCTCTGGACTTTGAGGTTGTTTTGAAGCCATACATGATTTTGAACCCCATTTCCTTCCCTTTTGACCTAACTTAGGGTGTGTCATGCATTGGACATGCATAACGATAAAGCAAAGATTTTTATGGATCATCTAGGTGCCTAAAAGCTTTTTGGAAAGTATGAGGGAAGGACTTAACAGATCAGTGGCTTAATCCATTAAGGTTGTAACACCCATTCCAGGTACGAATTTACTTCGCAATGTCAAATGTCTTTCTGGGTTGCCACGACGTGGTAGAGCCTTACCACGACGTGAAAATATTATATGGGCCACATGTTTTAATGAGCCACCACGGCGTGGCAGCCCTGTTGGTGTAAACCTTAAAGTTTAGGGTTTGGGAACCATTTAAACACCCTTAAACCCTTGTATCCTTCTTCCCATCAGCCTCCATTCCTTAGAAACGTTCATTACAAACTCTAGAGCATTTGTGTGAGATTTGAACCTAAAAGTGTGTGTTTTTGGTGCTTGTGAAGGAAGAAGGAGATTGGTAGATCATCTTGGAAGTTCAAGGCAGCCTAGATCCAGAAGTTTGTTCTCCTCAAGCATCTCCAGGAGGTAAAAGCTTGGAACTTCACGAGTTAATTCCTAGATCTCTAGATTTTTTTTGCCCTTTTTCTTTATGTCTTGTTAATTTGGGTTAGATCTATCAAAGTTTGAAACTTTATGGATCTCCATGCCATTGGGAGTATTTAGTGTTTTGGATATAGGCTAGGAACGAGTTTTGATGTCTTTCATGGTGTTTTGGCCATTGAACCCTAGCTTTTGACCTAAAATGGAAATGACATGCATTGGACATGCATGTCCATAAAGCCATGATTTTTAAGGTTTCTTAGGAGTATGAAGCCCCTCTAGAAACTTTGGAGGTGAAACTCTAAGGATTGGGTACTTAATGAGAGTCTTGATGCACTAATTTATCCCTAGTGGTTAGGGTTTGGGATTTTGACTTATTGAGGGGTCTTGAGGAATAAAGTTGGAAACTTTATCCATCAAGACCATGGGAAGGACCAGATCTGAGGTTTGGAGATCTTGTAGTTGAAGGAAAATGACTTAATGGTTTAAGCTGCCCTGACCAGTCACCACAGTGTGGCTCAGGCTGCCACGGTGTGGCGATTGGGTTGAGACCCGCCTGTTTTGTCGGTTTGTGGCCACGACGTGGGCTAGGATGGCCACGACATGGCGACTAGCTAGGTTGACTTTGACTTTTGACCATTGAATTTGACCAAGTTTGACCTATGGGTATTTTGGAGCTATAGTCTGAGTTTGGTCACTGTTTGTTGTAAAGGTGACCGGTAGAGCTAGTATTCAGAGCAACATATTGTTCAACTATTTCATTAAACTATGAGGTTATTGTTCCTCACTGCACTTGTGGGTCGAAGGCACCAAGGCTGACCCACTGGATTTGATATCCTGATATATTGATTAAGGTTATGCCAAGTATGTGGTAGATCTGTATGATTACCTGATAATTACTGAGATCATTAGATTGGTAGATTTGTATGATTACCTGATGATTACTGACATGCGTTAGATAGGTAGATTTGTATGATTACCTGATGATTACTAATATGCGTTAGATTGGTAGATCTGTATGATTACCTGTATTGCTGATTCTTGATTGTTATTGTATATGTCGACATGTTATGGTTTGTTGGGTTGAGGCGATCCAGCTTTGTGTTGAAGGCCAAGATACACGGGGGGGTCCGGATAGACTAAAGGCCCTGCAAGGTGGTCGAGTCAGGTCGAAGGCCTGAAGAGCAGTCCAGATAGGTTGTAGGCCCTGCGAGGCGGTCCAGTGTAACATCCATAAAAATCATGCCAAATTTAAACTTTTTAAAACATTTCCAAAACCCATGATTATTACAAAACGTGTTTTCAAAATAGTATATAGTCAGAGAATCCCAGAATCAAATCGTAAAATCATAAAATGTGAGGAGCGGTACGATCACGCCTTTTCCTTCCCGCGATCATCAAAAGTACCTGAAACAATAATCGATAAATGTAAGCTCGAAGGCTTAGTGAGTTACCCCCAAAATACCAACGCCATACAGATATAACGATATCATATAAACATATAAGCGAACAACATGCATAATAAGCCATCAGTCTGACTGGACCGAATCCCGGTCCTCAGTCTATCTGGACCGCTCTCCGAGCCCTCGGCACGTCTAGACCGCCCTTCTCGGGGCCTTCAGCCTATCCGGACCGCTCGCCGGGCCTTCGGTCTGACTAGATTTGCTCGGCCCGGGCCTGCAGTCTACCCGGTCCGCCCAGGGTGTCTTGGCCTACTGCACACAGCAGGACCTGCCTCAACCCTTTCCCCAAACCAACAAACATGCAGATCTAACAGATCACTAATCATGGTAACCATCCTAAACCAGGATGTAATCTAACATAGCAGTAACATAGCAACCATCCTAAATCAGGATGAATTCTAGCATAACAATAACATAGCACCCATCCTAAACCAAGCTGTAAATCATAAAGGGCCGGCCTTGGTGCCGTAGACCCTGTTGATATAGTGAGGATAACTCACCTTGCAATGCCGGACTGAACCACGAAATCACGCTCCCGAAACACTGCCCCAAACTCCAACACCTATAACCATCAATGATCCAATTCATAAATACCCGCTTACCAATTATCCTCAAAAGTCAAACTGGTCAACCCTTGGTCAAAGTCAAAGTTAACGGTCAAGGTCAACAGTCCATGTTGACCTCAACTCGTCGATTACCCTTAGCTACTCGTCGAGTTCCTTGCATAACTCGCCAGCTCATCGAGTCACTAGAGTGACTCGTCGAGTTCATAAGGTTTGCGGTCGTAAACTCCTTGACCGACTCGTCGAGTCTCCCTTGCAACTCGCCTAGTTCATACATGTCCAAAGGTTGGGAAAACCCTAGCCGACTCGCCGAGTCACTAATATGACTCACCGAGTCCACGCCAATCTTCATCGGACTCGCCGAGTTGACCATGCAACTCGCCGAGTCCCTTCAATCCTTCATCCATACAGAAGCTTCTTCGTGAAACCAAGGCTCCAAACTGTAGATCTAGGCTCCTAGGGTGTTGTTATCACGTAAAGTTGCTAACTTTAAGTGCATGCAAGGCTCTATGGAACTAAAACACTCATAACTAGCATTAGGAGAAGGTTTTGGACATGAAGGAGGGTCAAAGCTTCATAAAGCTTGAGGCTTTCTGTCCACAAAGCCTAGGGGAGTCAATATCTGAAACTTTGCCCTTGTGACAAGCTCAAACCCGAAAATGACTCTATCTTGCCCTAGAAATGACCATTCTCTTCCACAAAGGGGAGATCTAAGCAATGAAATGTAAAGGTGGTAGCTTTATACCTTAATCTTGATGCCACAAAATTGGAAAGGTTGGATCTACAAGCTGTTTCTTGTCCCAAGCTCTCAACTCTTCAAGAAATGCTCCAATACACTCTCTTTTGTTCTCACACACTCAAGAATAGATACTAGCTAGCTATTAGGGTTTCT